CTGTGGGTCTAGGGCTAGGAGGCCCCATGTTGGAGTGGTTCCCCTCCTAGCTGCCAGGCTGGTTTCTGGGAACTGAAATGGGAGATGGGTGTTCCGGGGTGCTCTCTGGTTGGATGTAGCCAATGGGGGCAGCCACATTGGCATGGGGTCATCTGTACGTGATGACTCCTGGGCCCGTTCCTCCATGATGTCTGAGCCAGCTGAGGCCGTGCAAGCCCTGAATCAGGGCTGGGGAGCGCAGGAGCCTGGAGGAAGGCTAACAGGCTGTGGCTGGACCTGCCCAGAGAATGCTTCTGTGGCTGGGCAATTCCTGTGCCTGGGAACCGAGCTGTCCACCTGTTCTGGACGGAGCTGCCCTCCCTCTGAAGGGCCAGGCTTGTTGCTCAGGGCTGCATCTTGAATTATCTCTGCACAGTCTTCCCCCTACGGCAGGAAGTATGGTGTTTCTGCCTAAAAATTGGGGTAGCCATTTCTAAGTTCACCACCATGCAAATAAATTACCATAGGTAAATGTTATGAAATCTGTACCTTCTCTCATCCCCCTTTTAGGCAACACCTAAGGCATCACCTTGGTTGGCATGCAGAAGGTTCCCAGGACATTTCTAGTTCAGGTAGCAGGTGATGGGTTAGGGTCTCCCTAAGCCATGCTGCCAAGCAGAGGAGACAGACAATACTGAACTAGACAGACGTGCGGGCTGAGTTTGTTCAGTGGGTTACTGACCGGACACCCACACACACCCTGCATGAGCTGGTGACTTGCCACCCAATTCCCCCAGTTTCCCTTGCTGGGTGTGACTTGTGGGATCATTCAAGCAGGGTGAGGGCGGATGGCTGGTCTGCTACAGCGTTGCTTGGAGTTTTGCTCATCAGCTCAGCCAACTGCCCTGGCCAGGCTTGCCACTGCAACCAGCTGTGCCTGGCAAAGGTAATTAGGGAGAGTGGGCAGCACACAGCTGGCACACATGGGGATGGGGAACGATCCACCATGGGCTCTTAGTCACCCTCCTCTCATTCAGATGGGTCCAAAGTCTCACCTGCTGTTAGGCAGCCTCCACATCCCTTGGGCTTCAAGGGTTAAAAGCAGCTCTTTGAAATATTGGGGAAGGTTGATGAAGATTGGTGGGACTGGTATGTAGTTTTCTGGCTGAGTGAAATGATTAGGGCCGGGATGCAGGACAGAGTTACAGGCAAAGTACAAAACGTGGCAGCAAATGCAGAATTGAGCATCCAAGACTATCTACCTTAAATACAATCAAACAAAAGCAAGTTTCTGACTGTTATAGCTGCAAAGAGGAGAACTCATCAACAGAGGGTCCAAAAAGACAGAAATGCAAAGGGAAGCTGTCTGTGTGACATTTCCATGCAGTGCCCAAGCATTATTGATTGTATTTCCAGAAATTCTTTCTTGCCAGTTTCTTATTGTCAGCTAGTAACATAAGATGGAATCAGAATGACTAATTCCTAGTTTAAATGAAGATACTGACATTAGTTCATCAACAGGTAGGATAGCAGACCAGTGCAACATACAGACTTTATTCCAGACTTTTCCACATTAAAAACGATGGATTCTAATAATTAAAGCATTTATCATGTGTTTTTACTTACTATAACAAAGGTGTTTACTATTGTAAAATTAGGAAAGTTGAAAAAGTTTTAGTATTGTCTGAGTGTTCTTACAAATTAGTTAGCATATCTAAACATTATGAGTTAAAAAATCTAGATCACAAGTAGTGTCTCATTTGGTGTAGAGAAAAAAAACCTCCAAGACATCTTTGGGATGTAACAAAACTACAGACCAATTTTATTGTATCATGTGATCATTTGTGAGCCGCCCCGAGGCTTTGTTGCGATGGGGGCGGCATAGAAATGTTTTAAATAATAAATAAATCATATTCAGGAATCCATCCATATTGAACCTTCTGTGACTATTAGGCTTAGAAGTTTTCTCATAAACATAGTTCTATATAAAAGGGTTATAATCAACAGTTTAACTTCATTCCTTCAGAGCCATTTTAAGTACAGTGTTTTTCACAAACGTGAAGTTAGGGGCGGGGACAGGATATTTCTCATTAAAAGACAGAGAAATGCCTGTTGGGTCCAGCTCTCTAGTCATGCAGTGGCCCATGGGATCCCACAAACAGGACATGCGAGCCCCCCTCCTGCCCATGCTCCCCAGGAACTGGTGTTCACAGGCATCCTGCTTCTGATGCTGGAGGCAGTGTACAGCCATCGGGACTAGGAGCCAGTAATAGCTTCCTCCTCCACAAACCATCCCGTCCCCGCTTCAAAGCCATCCAAATCGGTGGCCACCACCGCATCTTGGGGGAGCAAATTCCATAGCGTAATACCATGCTGTGTTAAGCTGTGCTTCCTTTGATCTCTCACAAACGTTCTAACCGTCACCTTCATGGGATGAGCCCGAGGTCCAGTATTATGAAAAAGGAAGGCAAGTCTCACTGATCAGCTGGGGAAGCTGCAAGTCACAGGGGCGGAAGAGTAGTGCTGCAACTAGAAAAATGCAGAGCTAGCAGCGCCCGAAAGCTCAGCAGCTGTCTCCTGGATCACTCTTCCGCCTTTGAAACACTTGCTTGGCCATAGATGTCAGGCTGCGGCTGCAGCTGAGTTAAAAGCCATTAAATAAGCAGGTCAAAAAAGGATAACAGGGACAAGAATACTGGGATGCAGACGGTTTGGCAGAACCTTTTATTGCTTTTTTCTAAAAAATCTGGGTGGGCAAATGACATCAATTCTGAAGAAAATGTGATTATGTTGGTGCACCTGTAGGAGACCTCAAAGGACACTTAGTTCATCTCTCAACCAATGCAGACAATCTTTTAAAACTTTCGTTGACTGCCCAGAGAGCCTCGGCTTTGGGGGCATAAAAATGAATCAGTTAATTAAATAAATCTGCTGTTACGGTACCCTGAACAGGTTGCCATCAAACTGGTGTTTCAAAACCCCTAAGGAAGGAGAGCTCTCCATCTCCACAGAATGTCTGTGTTCTGCTCTCAAAGGAGAAAGATGAAGGAGGCCATGTTTACTGATCAGCTGAAACCCAATAGCCATGTAAAAGATAGGATGAAACAAACTATGAAGTTTATTAATGCAGCTCAATTGGCTGCGGAATTCAGGAGCCAATTGTTCCCTGTTTTTCCCTAATGGAGGTTCAGCTTTGTTCTTAACTGGCTTTTAAGTGCTCTTGGAATGCCCCTGTTTGTGTGCTATATCAGCATGTTTCATGTTTTAAAATCTCTGCATGCATAACCGTGTTATAATTTTGTTGTAAACCAGAGAGCGCTGCCTATAGGATGGTATAGAAAATAATCTTAAAGCATTTTAATCTTTAAAATTTGTAAATCTATGACATCTCTTTAAAAATTTAATAAACATTGTTTAAATCCATACAATGTATAAACTGTATCTGTTATTGGTGGTCATGTTCGTTGCTTTTCTGTTTTATGGATTATGCTCACATGGCCTGTATATCAGTTGACTTCTGTCAAATTGCAGGAATCCTTAGGAGGTTCTTCTTAATGTTCAAACTCCCTTTTCTGGTCATTTAAACCCATCAGTTCAGGTCTCTTGGTCTGAGATGGGGCAGTGAATTTCCATTATCATCTGTCAGAGTTGGGCAGAATGTTTGGTTTAGTGTAATCCACTTTGTTTATTGTTGTTCTTTAGAACCCCAAAATCCAAGATAAAAGTCACTTAGAATTAAAGAACCCTGAGCCTAGGAGTTTGTTGTGAATCCTGGAACTGAATGAAGCAGCTCACACAAAAATCCATCCCCGTTCATTTCAATACTATAATTGGGGATGGTGGTGGGGAAAGTAATTTTGTTGTTGCTGCTAGGGTTGGGAGACAGAAATCCTTTTACATCGATTGCAGATCACTCGGTGACAGAGCAGGAGATCCAGCTCTACCTTCTGTCCATCTTCATATATGTAATCTTCTCCTCTCCAGTCTCCTATTTTCAACTCCTTCAACTTTTCCTTCCAAGGTGGGCCTTCCAGTCCCTCTGGCCATCCTCTTTGTAGCCTCCCTCAGATCTCCACATTGGTACTGCAGAATCACCTCCATCATCGATGATGATAGGATGGAAAGGTGAGATACAATATCATAAATAATGATCATAATAATTAAGCAGGTCACATTTTCATTGCTGCAGTATGCTAGCTAATTCTCATCGGGACTTTCCCCTCGCCCGTCATTGCCACTGCGCGCCCTGACTTCACTCGCCGTTTCTCTGTGCTTCACTTTTTACCCAGGCTATTTTAATACCCACACGCGGCCCGGTCCACCCTATACGCGTTCAGGCGAGGGGTTACTCTCAAGTAAACGCGCATCGCATCCGACTGCAGGCTTACCAAAGCCGCCGCTTTGCACTCCCAAGCTGCACAGTTCATCAACGGCACACTGCGGCTTAGTCCGTGTTCGCTTGGGCAGAACACGCATGGCGCAAAGACAAAGAAAAAAGTTGGCTCGTCCCTCATTTCTTCAGTGCACGAGAAACGGGATTAGTCGCTCCTGCGCATGAAATGAATGCGAGAGGAAGGCTGCGACCTAGTGCAGCGGACGGCTGCCGGAGAATCGAAGCGCAGCACGCTCAGCCCCCTTCCTCTCCTCGGCCGTTCCTCCCGGAACAACCGCCATCCTGAACTCCGGGATGCACGCAAGCCGGAGCTGGGCTGGCCGGGGAAGGGACGGTCTGCTCGGACGCCCCCTCCAGTTCTCGGGGGAGAGCGCGGGCCGCCTCTTGCACCACCGCACGCGCCGGGCCGGGCCGGGCCGCGCCGGGCCGGGCGAGCGCGCGCCCCGCGCTGTGATTGGAGAAGCGGGGCAATTTGCATAACACCAGCTGACGCATCCCGGGCGGGCGATGACTATTCATGAGCGAGGGGTGTGGCCCCGGCTCCATGTGTGCCGCAGAAGGATAAATAAAAAGCGGTCAAAGATGTTCCCGTACAGAAGTTGGCTCTCCACGAGCAGCTAGCCAAGAATTCGCGCTTTCCAGAGCCAAGATGTCTCAGACACTCAAGCTAGCCAGTAGAGCATCTTTGTTTGCGAGATGCTTCCCCGACATCTGGGCAGAATCTGTCCTCAAGTCCCAGGCGACGGTGGTTAAAACCCACAAGACCCTGGAGGACATGCCAGGACCCTGCACCCTCAGCTTCATCGCCGATCTCTTCTGCAAGAGGGGGCTCTCGAGACTGCATGAACTCCAGGTAATGGGCTTTAACTAGACATGAAGTTATTATTAATAATATTGCTAACTGTCCTGCACAGGGCGAGGGGGGCACAAGATGTACCCCGTTACCATAGGGAATCATATAATGGGGTATGGGATCCTATCATGCTTAAGGGATGACTAGATGCTGTTCTTTTTCTCAGTAGTTTAAGGTTCAAACCTTCTTCGAGTATAATGTAGTTGAAATTTGACGATTGTCTGTATTTGGCCCCAAAGGATAAGGGATGCTAAGGGCTTTGTGTGTGTGCACTCAGAAGCAGGTTACGAGGTTATTACACTATGCAAACTTCTGATTTTCATAGAACTCCCTATCAGCCGAAGTTCTGTGGAATGAGTAAGCTTCATATGCTAAACCTGACCCCCGATAATGCATTCCAGTCTCATACATTTTGCATATGCCCAGACAGATGACTTTCAGAGATACTAATTAAAATACATTGTGCAACTATTCCATCTTTTCCTCCTTACTGGATATGTGTGTGGGTAAAGAAAAACAAACAAGCAGAAGAAGCTGTGGGAAAGCACAGGAGGTTTACAAGCAGAAGATGACGCTGTTTGGTCCCCCATAAAATTCAGTGAACGAGGCAGAGCAATTGCACAATAAAAGCTTCATTGGGAAGCGTGCTTGGTGAAAGAGATAGGTATTGTTCCTCTTTTAGACATGGGTGAATGAAGCTACGTAACAGACAGGATCCAGAGAGCTTTTCTTTCTTTCCTAAGTAGTTGTTCCATTGCCTTATGCAATTAGGGGGTCTCTGGCTTTTGTCTGTTTTCTGTCAGTAGCACATCTCCATGCTGTCTTAGATGATCTTCTGCCTTGCCAAAACTTGGAGAGGTGGGAAGAAGAGATGGGGAAAACCCTATTGCATGAGCACAATTCTACTCACGGTTTTCTGGATGACACTATGAATCTTTAATTCTGGGTGAGAAAGTGGCAATATAATTGAGGAACTGGAATGATTAAGGCTTAGGTAAAGGAGAATCCCAGAGTAAGGCCAACAGGTTATAGTTACCAAGAGACTCTCATAAGAAACCCTGCCTGAGGAATCCCCCAAAGTGATGTTAATTTGAAATCCTGGCTGCCTAAATAAAACATAATCAGTGGGAGCCAGGTATCAGAAATTTAATTCCAAAGGTAACAAGTCCTGGGAGCTGCAAACATGCAAAGATTCCCCAAGCAGCACTGCAGGGTGACTTTTAATTATTTCTTTATGCAATTTAAACATGTGCCTTGCAAAGAGTATAAATGAATTACAAGGATCCTTCTTCAGTTTTATTTAAAACAGGGGACATGACCACTCATCTGCAATCAGGCTTGTAAAAGCTATTTAAATAGTGATGACTACTCATATTCCTGGGCTTGCTTGGCAACACTGTTTTGCCATTAGCAGAGCTTGACCCAACTCAAGAAACTGAATGAAGTGAACTTTGCCTTGCAGTGTGAACTGCTTGTGTCTTCAAATACTACCTCTGTGTATTTTGAAGCTCATACTTCTGAAGGAAGTTTTCAGATGGAAATATTGAAAACATTTAATGTTTTTTATGGCATACGCACAACAGTGGTGTGCAATCTTGTAATCTTAATTTTGTTAAAGATTTTGCACAAAGCTGTCCATCAACTCAGACATGTTCTAAAGGTTAGCATTGCATGAAGTCAGTTAGAGGCATCTTTGACAAATTCACTAATTTGCCTTTGCATCCACAATGTGCTTGTCATTCAATGCACATTTGTCTTATTGTTGTAAATAACTTTAGAATACTTGAGGTGAAAAATCCATGTGTATGGTCCTTATTCATCCTTGGAGCAGCACCTCTAGGGAGAATATAATCCTCTGTCTCTGTTTTACAGATGGGGAACTGGGTCTGAAAGAGAAAGCAACATGTTCTGAAACCCTAGACATGTTTGCATGGGATTATGCACACTCTGCATAGTGGGACTTCTGAGTAAACCTGACATGGGACGGAGTGGCACACCTTCGAGCAAATCTGTGCTTGAGCCATAATGCCCTATTTCCCTGCACGCTGTTCTGCCATAAAGTGAAACACTTTTATGGATAAGGGCATAATAATCCTTTAATTACTTTTCAAAATTCTTTATCAGAATTAAGATTATATATGCGTTGTTGTTGGGCTTAATTGTTACTAGTTGGAACAAGCAACATCCTGGGTGGGGAGGTTGTTGGATGGTTTTCTTCTTTCCCCAAAGATCACACACTGGCCATTGTTAAGCACCAGAGGATACTTCTCCAAATACGTTGCAGATCAGAATTACTCTGTTCTGTCTTGTACTGCAGCATCAAACTAGCATGAGTCAAACCCACTGTTTATATTTCTATTTGTTCAAATGTATCCAGTTCTGGTACTTTCTTTGCTTCAGATCAGATCTTTCTCCATCTATTAACTCAGCTCTGTAAGCCTATGCACGAGAAGCCACACTGGGATCTGAGTTCAAATCCTGCTTCAGCCATGAACATGCTGAATGACTTTTATAAGCAAAGCTCCCTCTCAACTATTGTTCTTAATCTGTAAAGCTTGGAGAATGAGCATGAATGTTTTCAGCCAAAGTAACCACTTGTGCAGCCTCAGGCTGTGTGTTTTCACTCAGAAGTATGTCTGTAAACAAGACTCCCAGGTAAAGCTTAAATTCTATGCCAGCTCCAGACCTATTGATTTCAATGGGAGAGTAAAGGGCAGGCTTTAAGTCTCTCCTATTGCTCTCCATGGGACATATAAGAGCTGAACTTTAAACTATGATCTGATGCACATATGGGCTTGATGGAGCTTGTCAAGCATAATTTGAATAGAAAAGTATGACATAAAATAAAACCCCTCTTGGGCTGCTATCAAGTGTGACTGGCACCTCTGCCTGCAACTTGCTTCTCACAGCCTTAACAAATCCAATGATTCACTAATTTGGCCACTCCTATCTGCCTTCAGCTCTCAGTAGCACATGCGGAACCTTAAATAAAGGAACAGATCTAATTGATCTTTCTGTGCCCCAGAGCTAGGCCAGTGGTTGTTGGAGGACGACAAAGCCCAATTTCCCATAGTGCTTGCTATGATGTGGCACTCTTGCAGCATGGATTCTCCTTCCCCCTCCTCCCACTAACATCCCAGGAAGGCACTTGCTGCTTGGGGATTACATCAGTGGAACACAATTCTGTATGTAAATCAACAGATGTTGGCTGTTCTTCTATACTGCCATGGCTAGCGCATCACCAGAGAACCTGGGCACTGTGAGAAGCAAAAGGTCCATTATTCTCCAGAAAAGTAGCCAGGGGCAATTCCTTCATCACATTGCAGACTCTCCCCGTACCTCTGAATAGGATCTGAGGGAAGACAGATTTGGGACTGGGGCTGCCAGTGACTTAAGATCCATGTGCTGTTATTCTAAAGCCAATTATTTTCACAGTGCTAAAGTGTGCAACCAGGTGAAGTTGGTTGACTCATAGGCATCTTTTATCTTTGGGTAGCTTGAAAAATAGTCACTGGGTTTTGTTTCATTTTGCAGGTACCTGTTAAAGACAAGTGTGTGCTATGCTGTATTGTCTACAAGGCATTTGTTGGCAGCATACTCTGGCCCAGTTCAAATGTAACAAAACCCTGGCTTATGGTCTATGAGCAGCAGAACTTCCTTTTGTGGTTTGCTTGCTGTCACATGTGAACCAGGAACACTGGCTTGGCTCTTTCCAGATAAATGAAGAATCATAAGCCAACAACAAAATGTGGCTTGGAACTCTGTTTCTGTTGTTGTGTTCAAACCAGGCCATTGTTGTTCTCACATGTATGAAAAAATGAGTTAATCATTGAAAAAACCTGACTTTTATTTGGGATCCTGTGAGAACTAAAAAAGGTGTCCAGGGGGAAGCTGGGCTTTTAAAAACCCCTTTCATTACCTCCAAACATATTGCCACACTATCTTTGAGAACATCTGTGATCATGAGGGCTAGAAACTTAAACATATGCGTAAAACAAAAGCTGGTATTCTAACAAGACCATGCTCATTCCTTATTTTGCTGAGTGCTCTGGACCTCTCTCAGTAGAAATGCCAGCAGAATCTAATGCATGTTAACACAAACATAATGCCCTGCAAAATTCTTTGGAGGTTACTGCCAAATAACTGTGTGAAGAATTGTAGCCTAAAAGCTTGCAACTAGAAAGTGCAGATGTGAAGGGAAGCACTGAGTAAAGATATGTTGGTGGGAAGAAGTTAGACACCTGGGTGATTTGTTGTCAGTTGGCACCAATTTATCTCTGAATTCTGCCAGCAACAATATTGCAAAATGGCCCCCCTTACCCTAAATTATCCTGCTGAAAGGTAACCAGGAGTAAATTTTGATGTGGAACTGCTGTGAGCTCTGCTCAGACCTGGTGCTAAGAACAAAAAACGTGGATTTCTTTGGAGAAGAAATTGAACTCACACAAGTCTGCCTATTCCCATACCCACATCACATGAAGCCCAATCCCGCCAAAGCTGTGAGCTTCTGCCTCCCATTGGTTTCAATGGGAGAAACTGAACAGCTGTTTCAGCCGGCTGCTTTGGAGCAGCGGGGCTCAGACTTGCCGGCAGGGGGTTAGGGGTAGCCCCGTTTGCATTGAGTGTGCTTGGGGAAGCCGCTGCTCCAGAGGTGGCCGTTTCTGCATATGTCTTTGAATTCTAAGTCCAAGTGCACATTTTTCCAAGTCGGTGCGGATGAGGCTCCCTTGCCTAGCAGCACGTGGCTCACGGAGGTTCTGTGGTGCCCCAGCCAGGTTTTGCGCTCAATGCGCGGAGCAGAAGCTCACTTCGAATTGCCTTCAGCCACTACAGGAGGGGAAGGAATCCAGCGAATGAGATTTTTACACAGGGGTTACAAGGGGCAGGCGGGCTCTCTTCGCTCTGCCACAGAGGGAGAAAGCCGAAATCTGTTCACACCATCCTGCAGCCTCTAATGCTTTCCCCTCTCCTTCTGCTTTTGTCCTAGATGGAAGGCAAAGCCAAGTACGGCCCAGTGTGGAAGGCCAGCTTTGGGCCCATCCTCACTGTCCATGTGGCAGATCCCACCCTGATAGAGCAGGTGCTAAGGCAGGAAGGCAAGCACCCCATCCGCTCCGACCTCTCCTCCTGGAAGGACTACCGGGTGTGCCGGGGCCACGCATACGGGCTGCTGACTGCGTAAGTATCAGGGCTTCCTCTCCTCACCTGCCAGCTGGAAGGGCTCTGCATTGCAGGCACCTTCCAGACAGTGCTTGCATCCAGAGGGCATCGCACAGCGCTCCTGTCTTTTCCCCTGAATGGACTGAAAGGTGGAAGAAACGGTGGGAAAACACAGGAGGGTTACCGATGGAATGCTCTGAAAAGAGGCCTCTTGTGTGCATCGCAAAAGCCTCCTCGGGAAACTGCCAGCAGCGAAGTCCAGAGGGGCCTGGGCGTTAGGGCTGATTCCTGCAACACAGAAATCCGTGTCCCCAGAGGCTGTAGGCGGCTGCTGAATCTGCTCCTTCCATCACGTGCATGCGAAATCTGTCTGTGGGTTGGCTTGAAAGAGTTGGGCACTACATCCGTTTCCTGCCTGGTCCCTGCTATTTTTGGCACTTTCTCCAGCACGCTGGGGAAGTAACTCTTCAGGTTGCAACACGCTGGCTCTTCGCCCCCAGCGGCATAGTCAGCTGCACCCAAGTATCCCACTTGCACTGGGGCTGGTGGTATTCCCACCCTGGAGCATTCGAGTCATCAGGTCGGGTAGGATGCATAGTCAGGATGGCCACCTCTCTCCTGTGAAATGAAGATGGAGCATGGGATTTCAGGGCTGGGATCTGATGTGGTCAAGCAGAAGGGTGCTGAGCTCCTTGGAGGCCGAGTGCCCAGTTCCCTCTCCGAGAATTCCAGACCACTTGTTCTGGGATCACCTCCTAGTGGTGGGCATGGGTGGATATTCAAGTGCTGGGGTGAAGGCGAAAGAACCAGCTTGTGTTAGTTTAAAGCTCTTCCTACCAGTAATGAAGACGTCATGGCAATCTGGGGAATGCCTGTGGCCCTCAGGTCTTTGAGGTTCTGCACCCCTGGTTTAGAGACACCTAGTAGGTCAGGAGAGGGCAGCTGGGCAAAGGTGGGAGAAGACCCCGGGGTTTCCGGTCCTTCACTAAGTGGAGATGGGCAAAGAGCAGGAATGCTCATGAAGAATAATCCCCTCACAAGGGGAAAGGGATGAGGATGCTTTGTGCTCCTTCTTCAGGAGAATTTTGTGCTGAATTGTGAGCTTGCATCTCCTGCAGTGACTAACAGACACCCATCTCCACCGCTGGGGGTAAACTGGAGAAAAGGACCCCCCATGTTTCAGCAGCATCCTGCTCCTTGCTCACGTGGCTGCTTCCTGGAAGTGTGTCATGCGGAAACAGCAGGGTCTCGCCTGGGCTTGCGTAAAAATGCAAGCTGGGGGGTGAGGAATTGTTTCAAGACACAAAGCAATTTATGATTCAGGGCTTCCTCAGTGAGAGTTTTCTTACCCGCTGGGCAGCTTCTTCCGCTGTCTAGACACCGGATGTGAGTAATGAGAAGAAGAGCAACAGGCAGATTTCCTACAGCTGTTCTCTCTCTCAGCGCAGCTCAGTCCTTCCTGGGTACCCTGTAAGATCTACTTGTGAATATGTGGATTTCACTGATGCCCTTACAGGGGGAATGCCGAGACCCCCAAGGCTGGTGACTCGGCTCAAAGTGTGCGCCCGTTTTGAGATGGAGGGATCTTCTCCTGGCTTTCTCCATGTGTGGATCTGGGCACGTCTCCTGCTAACAGAGGCCTCTCTTCTGCACGGTACAGGGAAGGTGAGGAGTGGCAGCAGATCCGCAGCATCCTAGGAAAGCACATGCTGAAGCCCAAGGAGGTGGAGGCCTACACCGGCACCCTGAATGACGTGGTGGGAGATCTGGTCCGCAGATTGCAGCACCAGCGGAATTGCCACGAGCGGCATGTCGTCAAGAATGTGGCTGACGAATTCTACAAGTTTGGATTGGAAGGTATTTATTAGTTTTTGGATGTACCCCAGACTTCAGAAATACATGGATTGAGTCAGCCTTCCCCAGCCTGGTGCCACCAGATGTTTTGACCCATAACTCCCATCATCCCTGATGATTGGCCATGCTGACTGGGTCTGGTGGGAGTTGTAGTTCAAAGCATTTGGAAGGCTGGGTGGAGATGCCACTCTTTCCTTCACACCAGTTCAATGGGCCCAATTTGGGTTTATCTGGAATCTTCTCTCCTTTTATGAGTTGATGATTTAGTGATCACATTCAGCTCTGCTCATGCAAAGTCATTTTGCCGCTTTGCTATGTAACTCTTGTCTTGCCCCAGCTTCTGAGCTGCTCCCTCAAGAACAGTGCATACTTGATGTGTGCGGAAGTAGGCACCGTATGTAGGATTCTGTGCCATTAAATCTCAACTTTCAATGACTTAAGAAAAAGAATGCAAGTTTCTAGCTCTTATGGCTGTGACAAACCTGAAAGCAGGTGGGCAACAGCTAGTGAAATTGCAAAGGCTGAAGCATAAAGCTTTGTCTAACAGGGATTTCTTGAGCCAGGAGTTAGAACAGCAGTGCTTGTAATAGTTTTTTCTCCCGTTTAGTGGAAGCAGTTATTCAATATGTAAATGAACTGGGAGCTGGTCCCCAGTCAGCAAATGCCCAGGATGTAGCTATTCTCCCATTGACACGTCCTCCCACTGGCCCATTGACTTTGGATGGCGCTTCAAAAGAGGCCGTCCATGTACCCATTCCTCTCCCTTTCTGGCCAAGGCTACAAGTATGCAAGCAGGCTGTTCTCGTCACATGGCAAGGTGTGCGAACCAGTCTTCTTGAATGCTTCATGTCCATATGTTCCACCCAAATTGCTGCAGTCCCTCCCCACTTGCCTGTACAGCCCAAGACACAGCGGCCTGTAATCTAGACATGGGTGCCTGAATCATGTACGTACAAGGCTGGATTCTTGTGCGCAGATCTAATCTTCAAGAAGGCAGTGCTTCTTTCTATCTCTCTTCCCCCACTCCCATATTACAAAAGGGCTGATGAAGCTGCCAAGTTCATTCAGAACTTCTAGACAGCCATTCCCAAGTTGGTATCCTTCAGATGTTTTGAACTACAGCTTCTAGCATTCAAGAGTGTTATGTTTCCTGGGGTGGATGGACTTGAGGGTTAATACATCTGCAGGGTGCTGGATTAGGAGAAAGTGCAGTAGGAGATGGTTGCTAAGCCTATTCTCCTCTAGAAGTCACATCCACATGGCTGGGCAAAGAACAAGACAGAACCAAGGCATGGACAGTATCTGTCCTGGAGAATTTAATGGCTCTAATTTGTTCTGGACTGGACTTTTCCAGGCATCTCTTCAGTCCTCTTTGAATCCCGGATCGGTTGCCTGGAGCCCAGCGTCCCAAAGGAAACAGAGGCCTTCATTAGCTCCATCAACACCATGTTTGTCATGACACTGCTCACAATGGCGATGCCCAAGGTCTTGCACCAAATCTTTCCTAAGCCGTGGCAGAAGTTCTGTGAATCCTGGGACTATATGTTTGCATTTGGTGAGTACTGCTTCATCGTTTATACATAATCTGGCCAGTTGGCATCCTTATGATCCCCCAAGCATATTTGGGAGAAATATATTTACAAACAGTAGGGCATCCAGTTTATAAATTTTATAGGTTTAAAACTTTGATAAAATCTGATAGTTTTCTAAAAAAAATAAATCTAACAATACACATTTTAAAATGTGAAACATTTCAGTATAAAACGCCTGCTAGATCATCAATTATATGCCAGTGTAGGTCTTTGTAAACACAATGTTTTAATAATACTTTTAGTTATTGGCAGGGTCAAGTTTAAAGCGAGAACTTCTGGTAGGGAAATTCACAATGTTGAAGCCTCTACCAAGAAAAGTGGCAGGGGGGAAATTCTCACCCATGTCACCTCTTATTAGAAGACACCTAGTAGTTAAAAACCAAAATCAAGCAAAAACATGTTAGCCTCATGAGAACCAGAGACTTGATAATTCTTTCAAAAGTTGGGATAATCAGAATTTGTTGGGCTTGACTATGAACACGCAATTATTTAGTCCTATTACTGCTAAGATATAAGCAGCAACTTCACAACCTGAACAACACAGTCTTGTCTAGAGAGCAGACAAGGTAAATATTGCCCTTCAATACAATTCAGTTTGGTTGAAGAGCAATATATCAATACTTAGAAGGGCAGGCAGACAGATGGACAGACAGGAAACTTATCACATATGTTCATTCTGTCTTTCTCCTGCTTGCACTGAATTATATAGAAACTGCTTTTAAGCAAACAGAAGCTGGCTGCATCTGATATGTGGGGTGATTTAATGTTTTTCTTGATGCTGCCCCAGGAGATCCTGTACTAATTCATGTCTTGCCAATCGCTTTCCAGCCAAAGGACACATTGACAAGCGGATGGCCGAGGTTTCTGAAAAAATCTCCCAGGGAGAAAAGGTGGAAGGAAAATACCTGACTTACTATCTGGCGCAGGAGAAACTGTCCATGAAATCTATCTATGGGAATGTGACGGAGCTTCTGCTGGCTGGCGTGGACACGGTAAGCCTTCGGGGCTGCAGCGGGGAGAAGGTTTCTTGCAGAACGAGGGGAGTTGCCTTCTTGCTTGTGGAAGCCTCCAGCAATCAGGCACGGGTGGGAGTACGTCTGTGGGGTGGGGGAAGCCAGAAAAACAGGCTGGCCTCTGATTTGTTTTGCCCAGAACTGTTGACTCTGATCGGAAGCAGGTCCCCAGGGCTTCAGGCCACTTGTTTTCCAGCCCTTTCTGGACAACCGGTGCTCTGCCCTTAAGCCAGGAGGAGCTGGGCAGGACCTGGCAGGGGTTTCTTGAGGTGCTGCAGTTTCCTAAGGGAGCCTTTGATAAGCCTCTTTTGGATTAAGAGTCACAGGGGACATACTCTCACCCCTCTTCTGGGATGATCTGCCTCTGCCCTCTTTATCTCCTCCCCTTCTTTCCCTGTCCTCACAGGAGGGCAATCATACAGCTATAAAAGCTGGGCTTGATTCGAAGCAGAAACCGCTTTCTTGTGCCACTGCTGCTGTCTGAAATATGGGGTATACTTTTGCACTTTTGAGGTTTAAACAAGTCTCTCTGTGTATAAGGAGAGCCAGGATGGCACTGCGGTTAGTGTTGGATTGGAGTTCTGGTCCTCCCGCGGCTGTAAAGCTCACTGGGTGACTTTGGGCCGGTCACTGACTCTCAGCCTAGCCTACCTCACAGGGTTGTTGTTGTGGGGATAAGATGGAGGAGGAGAGATAATGTAAGCTGCCTTGAGCCCTTTGTAGGAAAAAGGCAGGATATACATCGAAAAAATAAAATTAAATAAATAATAAGATAAACTAGAGAGGAGCAGGAGGATTACACAGCCACTTAGGGTTCCTTGTGGGAAAACAAGCAGGGCAGATATACAAACAGAGACACAAGCCAATAGCCGTGTGCTCTTGGGGCAACTGCCCTGGAGCTCCCTTGCTCAGCTTGGCGCTCCGGGAATTTCTCCCCGCTTGCCGCGTGACCGATTGTGTTCTGCCTGCAGAGGCAGCATCCACATCTGTGCAGCAAGCCCTGGGTCTTTGCAGGGCCCTGCGCCAGAGCCTGCTCGGCAGAGCGACTCATCCAGCCCATCTGTCTCCCTGCAGATCTCGAGCACCTTGTCCTGGAGCTTGTACGAGTTGTCCCGGCACCCCCAGGTGCAGGCGGCCCTGTACCAGGAGATCGCAGATGTGATGAAGGGCAGCCTTGTCCCGACAGCGGCCGACGTGGCCCAGATGCCTCTCCTGAAGGCAGTGGTGAAGGAGGCGCTGAGGTGAGCCGAGGGTGGGTGGAGGGCGTGGGGCTGCCCCTCACCGGGGCTCTGTGGGGAGCAGAAAAGAGGTGCTGGGCCAGGGGAGCAGTGCGCTGCTGCTCAAGGAAGAAGGGGGCTGCCCGGGAGGGCCCCCCTCCTGCCAGAAACACCCCTCACCCGCCATTGCCGCTGTTCCCTTGGCTGCCAAAGCCACAGCCGGCCTGTGAGGACACCAGGCCTGCAAAAGGAGAGGCTGTTTGGGGCACTTCCCAGAGCTGCTTCTTTCCCGGCAAAATGGCTGCCGCATGGGCAGCGCCAGTGGTGGGGATGGCTGAGGCAGGGACAGGCGGCCGTGGCAGGCCGCATGCAGCCCCCAGGCCCCCATGCTGCTGGCATGCACCCGCACAGGAAAATGGAACGAGCCCCTTGGGCTCTCTGCAGCGCTCTCAGGGCCGGGTGGAGAAAATGTCTTGCGTGTGCGTTGCTCAAGGAGCCAGGCAAGCACATGGGGGTGGAGGGGTGGATGGCTTGAGGTTTACGTTCTCCTTCCTGTGCCTTCCTACAGGCTGTACCCCGTGATCCCTGGCAATGCACGCGTCATCTCGGACAGGGACATCCACGTGGGAGACTACCTCATCCCCAGAAAGGTGAGCACAGCCCAAGCAGGTGCCCAGGGAGAGGGGAGCACAGGGCGGGCCAGGCCGGGCCGGGGGCTGCGTCCGCTGGGCAAGCCAAGCACCACTAGGAGGGCCACTCAGCCAAGGACAGGGGAGCTGCCCCTGCAAGGAGCCGAGGAGCAGCAGCCTTTGCAGGGAGGAGAGGCAGGGCCAGAGGCCAGAGCTAGATCAGGGCAGCAGCCCTGCTCGGCCCCTGCCATGCCAAGGTTCTCCTGCCTGAAGCGCCAGAGAGCTGCTGGTGCTCAGTCTAGGCAATATGCAGAACAGAGAAACAGAGCGAGTTAGAAGGGGTCTCCTGGGGCATCTAGTCTGACCCTGGCTGGGTGAGTGGCACCAGCCATCTGACTCAGTAGAAGGCAGACTCCTGGGTCCTGGCTGGGAATGATGGGATCTAGAGCCCAGCACCCCTGGAAAGGGCTCAGCTGGGGAAGGGTGGTGCCAAGCTTGCTTCTGTAGTGCAGTCTTGTAGCACACCTTCTTTGAGCGCATGTGGGCACTCCGGACTTGGGCTCTGGGACCACTTTTCTCATTATGTCTCCTCCTCTTCCTCCCAGACTCTGATCACCCTCTGCCATTACGCTACCTCACGCGACGAGAAGTACTTCTCCAACCCCAATGCGTTCCAGCCGGAGCGGTGGCTGCGCAAGGATGCCGCGCATCACCCCTACGCCTCCATCCCCTTCGGCTTCGGCAAGCGCAGCTGCATCGGCAGACGCATCGCGGAGCTCGAAGTGTACCTGGCGCTGGCCAGGGTGAGTGCCTGCTTGGGGGAAGCCCTTGGCCAAGGCGGGGAGGAAGGGGCTCTTCCTGTGGGGCCGGTTCATGTGATCAGGCCAAGAGGAGAGGTGGGGCGCAAGAGCTGCTCTGCCTGTTTAGGTGAAGGGCCCTTCCTAGTTTGGGAGCCCCGGGATCGCAGCTTGCCAGGCAGTGGACTCATCTGGGAACTATCTGTCCACTCTGCAGCTGGGAACCTGGATCCCTTCCAAGGTGCTGCTGCCGTCCAACTGTTGGAAGCAGCCAAACTGCAACCGCAGCGTGCTCTCAGCTCAGTGCTGGCTGCAGTGGGGAGTGGAGAATTGTGAATTGACCTGAATTTCCCCGGAGTGACTCTGGGAATCTCAGCTGGATTGGACCAGGCAGCTGCTGCTGTTACTGCTGCAAGGTGCTGTGGTTCAGGCCAGCTTTCCCCAGAGCCTTCCTGGCCTAGAGAGGCTGCCTTTGATCTCCAGCACCTCTTGCCCAGATCCCTTTGAACTGGAGGGTCCATCACTTCCAGCTATTGGGCCGTGTGTGCCTGGCTGCAGTGTGCAGCCGAAAGTCCCAGGTGCAATCCCCAGCATCTCCAGGGTGGGCTAGGAGGGGACTCCTGCCTTAAACCCTCAAGAGGCACTGCTACCAGTCCGTGTTGTCCATACTAGGTTTAGATGGACCAAGCGCCTGGCTCAGGGAGAGCTCCCTGGCATGTCGCTCCAGCTTCCCTTTTGCTGATTCTTATTTTCCTGCCTGGCCCTTCTTAAAAAGCCTCACAACAAGGTGGCTTGCTGGTGGGAACCCAGTTTGTTTGGAACCAAATCTTGGCAAGCCTTCCTGGGGCTGGGGTGAATTGTGGCAGTAAGAAAACGCATTCAGGCCAATCAGCTTCCCTTGCTCCGCTCACCTCTGATCAAGCTCCCAGATGTCTCCCTCTATTTGACACGGGACCCTTCAGCCCCGCAGCAAGCCTGCTGGTCCTTATCTTATCCTTTGTTCTTATCCTTGTCTTATCCTTTGCTGGTTCTTCTTCAATCCATTTTGCAGCATTGCTTGGGTCGGATGTGGGCTTAAGTTGGGTTGACTGCACTGGCCGAAGTGGACCTCCCTAGCATCCCCCCTTTGGGGCAGCTCTTTCTTCCCCTCAAAAATCCTACACAGAAAGTCAGGAATCCCTGGGGCAAATGGGGTCAGCAATGAGGGGGAGGGGGGCTCCCAAAAATAGGGAAGGAGGGGCTTCTGCCAGCAGAGAACTTGCTGTCACAGAAGGCCCCTTTCTCACACAGAAGGGCGGTTCCTGATCCAACCTTGTTTTTATGGCTTTAGCCTGGCATTGTCCCAACTGGATGCTAACAAGTTTTATTTTTTTTTAAATTAAAGATCCTGATGCATTTTGAAGTGAGACCAGAGCAAGAAGGGCAGATTGTGAGACCCATGACACGCACCCTGCTGGTCCCAGAGAGGGAGATCAACCTGCAGTTCCTGAGCCGATAAAGAGAGCAATGCTGAACTGAACCACGCGCATGGGCTTCTCGTCGAAGCACAGACAGAATTTAAGACCCAGAGGAGAAAATGCCTGGCAGCCTGGACTGAAGCAAAGTCTTTGGGAAGGGCTTCCAGGGGCCTGTGATGTGGGGAAGGGGGAGCGAGAAGCAGGCAACTGACTGAGGTCTGCTCATGATGCAGCCCAAGGCAACCTTGAGGAAGGACTGTGTTGCCCTGTGGCCTGGAGGGCAAAAATGACTTCTCCAGCGTTTTCCAGCACATGCCTGACAAGGGCACACCATGCAGGGGCGTAAAAGGCCACTGGAGCCAAATTGCAGCCTGCTTTTCAAGATGTAAAATGGACAGAGGGGACACTTCTTGCGAAAGCAGAACAGATGCACTCTGCCTGGGAACAGAACCACAATTATGTATTTAAATGCCTTCTTATTGTTATTAATATGTTAATCTTTTATATTTAATGTACATTTCCTAACATATTTATATTTTCTACGTTATAATTTATAAGTGTATAAATGTTGTTCATAAACGTATCAAGAAAGGGAGGAAAATTTATTTTCTATTTTTTTAGAAAATGGAAATGTGTGTTTCTATTTTTAAAAATGGCTACATGGGAACAATTTCTAAAACCCAAAGTGTTCACTTAAAGTATGTTTCTTTGGTGCTATATTTAAAGGTTGTTTTTTAAATCTTTGGATAATAGATACAAGATACTTTTTAAAAAAGAAATTTGGCTTGCTGGTCTGTGATTTGGGGCTGAAGCAAAGCTAAGCTATAGACTTGGGTGCACCCACACAAGGACCTTAAACTGGTCTCATAGCAGTTTCTTGTTCAGCAATTGTTTCTTTGGGGACCCCGGACAGAAGGCTTCCAGCAGTCATCAGACCGCTGCTCCCAAGAGAAGCTGTGGCTGTAGAATGGATTTTTTAAAAGATACCATTTTTGAAGTATCTCTTCTAAAAATAACCACGATGATCATAAAAAACAGGACTGTGGAAAGTAGTCTGAGCTGGTCTTCTCCAACCTGGTGCCTTCCAAATGCGTTGACCTGCAGTTCCTACCTTCCCTGGTAGGGGGTTAATAGCCGTGCTGGCTGCAGGTCCTTGGCAAGCACCGCTTGAGGGATGCTGGCCGAGTCCTGGGCTTGTATCCTGTTCTCTGCTACGGCTTTTGGCCAATTTTCCTTATGAGCCACCCTTCATGATGTGAAGCCATCTTTTCAGTCAGTAGTGTGGCTACTTCCAGTGGCAACTGATTGGTGGGGCAGAGCGTAGGTCATCCCTAGATGGTCAAAGGCACTCGGCAACTGTATGCAAGGAGTTTCTCTGCATGAGGCCTTTAACCTATCGCTTTCCCAAGGCGTCTGCTTCCCGATTCTGCATGTGAGTAAAATCAGATCCTTTATACATGTTGCTTTTTCCCTGAGTTGTTTCTTTCTGAGCCTCTCTGTCAGTTCCATGGCACGACCCCAAGGAGGTGCTGCAGCACAGGCGAATTGCAAAGCGCACGTGTCGCTCATGGACCGATTTCTAAATAATACCACGCTGTCCTCAATCTCAGCAAAGCAGTGGAAATTGTTGGGAGCGGTCCAGGAGGTCAACCAAGCTGTGTAAGGCACCTGCAAACTACCACGAGTGAAGTATTGTGAATGCACTGTAGCTACCTTAATCTGAAACACTCGAGGAAACGTACTGTGGCGTATCAGTGCTGACCTCTGCCCTATCTGGGTAGTTGCAGGGGCTCACTGGGGACCCACAGCCATTTCTGCCCAGGTCTGCTGGGCAGTGGGGTCTGCCACATTCTCCCAGCGCCCCCAAGGAATCACAGTGAGGAAACACAGAGTAGCAGCACTGTTGGAGCAAAGAGGGTGCCCACCACCACCCCTGCCGTTAGGTCTACCAGACCAGTCAATAGAGGGAGAAACCTGCAATTCTGCACATGAGGGAGAGGAGCCACTCCCCTTCTGAAGCAGCGTGTCTGTCGAGACACCTGGGAAGCGGGGTGGATCGCCCCAGCCCTTGCAAGGGCGCCAGTTGCCGCAGGCATCCTCTTGGCTGGCCTGTGTTGGAGCATGATTCACTGCCCTTCACTCGGGGAGGAATCCTGGATTTCTGCCCTGCCTGCTGGCTGTTCCTTCTGGTCTTTCCCCTGGCTGCTTGTACTGGAGGCACTTCAGGAATGTCAGCAGTACAGCAACCAGACATGTCCAAGCCAGAACTCGGCTACGGGAACGGAACCCACACTCACACTTCAGGACAGAGAGAAGGAAACCCTCCTTTGCATGGTGGGGGATTCCAGTTTGCATGGCTTTGGGAGGCGATTAGAGAACTTCATGGAGGAGGCGGCTATCAGGGCTGCTAGTCCTCATGATGCTATGCTACCTTCAGTATCAGAGGTGGCGTGCCTGTGTGCAGCAGTCGTCTGAGAACGCAAGTGGCATCCTGCTTTTATTACACCCTCCCTGTGGGCTTCCCACATGCCGCTGGCTGGTATTCCTGTGAGGAGAGAGCTGGAGTAGATTAACACTGGGTCTGATCCAGCACGGCTCTTCTGTTCCTGCTTGTCTTGAATATTATAGAGCTAGATGAGGACAAGGGACGGCTGGTACTCTTTCCAGCCTTCTGCTCTCTAGGCCTCTCAGAAGAGAACTGCAGCAATGCTTGCGACGTCTGGATCTGAAGCTCGTTTTAGCACGGCAAGCTCTGGTGATGCATTTTTATCAGCACAGAAAAACATGCAGAATGCTGAAACTCATATCACCAATATATGGTTTGCATCCTGGCTGCATTCCCATATTTTCCTGCCCTGGAAGGTGAATACCAGTGATGACTCACCAGTTCTGGAAACAGGGAGTGTAGAAGGTATGAAAGGGAGCGTATCTTTCAGGAGTCTGCATACAAAAACAAATACTCAGTTATCCCTTCTGTCACTGGTTTCCAGTGCAACCTTGGCTTGCTTTCTTCCCATGACCTTTTATTGATTTTTTTTACTCATTTAACTTATGAAATTGTATTTGTGATTTATATCAAAACAATAAATCAGGGAGTAAATCAAGCACCCAAGGATACAGGCACAGATCAGAGCTCAGGAAAGCCAAATTGCTCAAAGGAAGCTCACCTGTCACCTGAGTGGGTGGAGTCAGCCTACCACTAGAACAGAACCCTGTTCTCCGTAAAACCTTCTTCTCTTACTTAAAGATTCTCCGTATTTCATGTTCCACGTTTTAATATTGAATTACCTCACATGCAAAGCTTTGCCATGGCCAGTGCCCACATTCAGCCACCTGCTGCCAAAGGATGAACAATCAGGTGGCAACTGACAAGATGGCCCTCATGCTTTGTGAGGAAACCCATCACTGTCAAAGAGCAGCTCATATCCTCCTCAAAACCTCTTGAGGAAAGTTCCCAGAGCCTTTAATTTGTATTTTCCCAATATAATAGATCAATACAAGCTAAAATAGTTTGGGGGCATTGAATGTATTGGTTGCATTGGTTTAAAATTCCCTTGGCAACTTTGTTTACTTGGTTCATCTTAGTTTGCTCTGTTTATTTTCGGTTGTTCTGTTTTATATTCTTTTATATATTCGTATATGTTAGGAAAATAAAAAACAAAAAACTAGGCCTGAAATACAACAGATTAAAGGGCAGTGTCTTTTTTTAATGTCCTGCATGTGGAATGAATGGCTGGGTTCACACAACACAGTAAGACAGGGTAGCTTGTGCTGCCTGAAGCCAGCAGCTCGGTTGGGTAGCTGCCCCCGCTGGGTTCAGATGATGCAACAAGCCACCTGTGGCTTATAAACCACTCTATCTTATTGTGTTGTGTGAACCCAGTCAGTGAATCACAGAACCATATTTGGAGGACTAGCACGATCCTAGGCAGCATCTCATTGGAAGCAAGTCCTATTGAATTGGCTAGGATTTATTCCCAGGTCAATGTGTCTAGGATTGCAGCCCTAGAGACCTCTCACGGAGCAAATCAAACATGATGCCACAGGTTTGTGATTATGATCATTTGCCGTTTTAGCAACTCAGGCATGCACTAAGCCCATCCAGACATTGGTGGAGGGTGTTATTAGTAACCTTCTCCCTTTGATGTTTTCTCAAGCACAAGAGCCCCTACCCTTGTCCTGCAGAAGGTAATGTCCCTCTGTGTTTCCTGATGTGGGGCGAGAAGCAGCTTGTGCAGGTTTTTATCGAGAAAATTACATGGGGCAGGTGGGGAAAGAGCAACAGCGTTCAGAGCCTTCCTCTCATAGTTCCACAGCCCTGTTTGGGTCTATCCTGCAGGTGCTGATACTTGGTGGAAGCCAGGAGAGAGCTGGCAAAGCCTTCCTCAGTCTGGAGCCTTCAGACATTTTGGACTTCTCTGAGCAGCCTCAGCTGACATGGCCAATGATCAGGATGCTGGGAGCTGTAGTTCAGAGCAAGTGGGGAAGATCAGGTTGGGGAAGGGCACAAAGAGACTGGGGTGCTCACTGGGAAGTTCTTGAGACACGCTTGCCAAGGGCTGTCTGCCACATGCAACCGAGGACCAGGCTTCTGCAGCTGTGGTCATTGTGCAGAGGAGGGAACTTCAGCACACAGATCATGGCAGCTTGTACAATTCTTTCTTCTGCTCAACTGTGATGGTTTCAAAAGCCCTGCCCTGGTTTGCATCGGGCTGCCCAACGTCAACCATGAATGCCTCTGGCATGGACTCAGAAGGTGGTCTTTGGCCAGTGAAGCCCTCTCTAGCAGCTTCTCTTTCCCCTGCCCCATGCGCGCACACCTGCCCACACAAACACACCTGCTGGGCAACCAATCGTAGTATTGATTGAGCTTGTAGGATTGAGTAAGCATTGCAACGCAATGAAAAACAAAAGGCACTTCCCTGAACATGTTTATATGAATGCAAAATATTGATTATGGTGTATGTTATATTTATATCCCAGCTTTTTTCCTTCAAGGAACCCAGCACATCTTGCACAATCCTCTTGTTCCTCCGCATTTGAGCCTCACAACAGGCCTGTGAGATCAGTTAGGCTGAGAGTCAGTGACAGGCCTGAAGTCACCCAGGCAGCTTCATGGCCGAGTCGGGATTAGAAGCTCCATCTCCCAAGACCTTGTGCAACGTCTGAACCACCACGCCATGCT